AAGGTGCAACAAAAATTGATTTCACGTTTTAAAGTCCTGTACTGTATTATACTGTACAGCTGTATGTCAAAGCTTTCAAGTTTTGATTCGATTTATTTTATTCATTATGTGTTGATGCCAAGTTTCGTCGTATATAGTCCTACTAATTATGAATGATTTACAACAATGCACCCGACTGTGCAATACCAAAGCGTTACACTACGTGTGTGTTGTTAACAATGTATTGTTGTCTTTTAACCTGTCAAAAACGCTAGTTAATAGTGCCTAAGATTCTGTTGCAATAATACTGCTCATAAACTCGTATCAGTTCTTATAAATGGAGGGTCTTGCAAAAATGAAATCGTATTACTGTACCATGCACTACAGTACTACGTATTATATAAGTGTTTATATAGTTAATGCAGCAGTTTTGTATCCTAGCGGTAAGATGACCTTGACGAAATCATGTCTCGTTAGTTGCATCCGTCAAGTACTGGAATTCTAGTTCGTATAATATTGATCCTTAATCAAATTAGTAATTTGTCTGCAATGTCGTCTAAATTTCATTATTTTTATTCGTTGTACAATATGTCATATTTCAGATATGTTTTGTATTTCGCTGTGCTCAGTATCGTTTGCATGATAATCTAGTTAGCGCTGCAGCTACTGAGCACTGAATATGGTACATTCGTTGTAAGATTGCTTACTTTATTAGCTTTAAAACTGCGATGTCTTATATTAATATGGACGTAAATAAATGCAGGAAGGTAAAGAATTTCTTGAGCGAGAGAATTATACTGAGACCGAGCCTAATAATGACGAAGCGGCAAATGATGATGAGAAGGAAGAAGAAAATGGTCATTCCTTGAAAAGAAAAACGACAATGGAAGCAACAATTGCCGTAAGTACTCAGCATTTCTTAGTAGTAAACATTTGGCACGCAGTAAACAAAGGATGCCATTGTTGGTCGTCTATCATACAGTACTGTACTGTACCATTCAGTACTGTATAAGTAGTAGTCTCTACTGTTTGCTCCAGTCTTGCGAGTACATTCTCGTGAATCGTGAGTGCGTGACTAGGAGCAGATCTCGTGACTATTTATTATTTTCAGTCAGTAAAAGAGTCTACAGTATGTCACGGTTTTATGTGTACTGTATGGTATTGCCATACTGTAGTGATTGATTGATTGATGATTAATTTTGTTAAGTTGATAGCGTAGTACTGTATTCATTTAAGGAAAGTTTGGTCGTTATAAAAATTTCTAGTTTTAAGGGAGCTACAAAATTCGAGCTCTACACGGGCATATTACTAGAGGAAAAATATTACAATAGTATCGTACCGTACAGTGGTAGATCTTGTTCTAATGCAAATGTTGTTAAATATTGATATATATATATGTGACATTAAGAGCACATTATTGCTTACAACACTTTCAGGATGCGGAATCGTTCATGAAGCGCGCGAAGGGCAGTGAAACTGATACAATAAAGGAAGAGGAAGAAGTAAAGGCTGATAATGGAAATGATAATGGAGACGATCAAAGTTAAAAAAGACCACTCTGAGCTAATTAACATGGCGTTATAAGTTGTAGTAGTAGACCTTTAGCAACGATTGCATTTGTTTTACCTTATAGCGTTCGAGCTTCGCCAGTATTGGTTAATAACTTGTCTTTAGTAACTTGTATAAACATTCAACCATAAATATTATTAACATGTAAAACGGTAAACTGTATCAAAGCGCAGTATCTACATTGTTTCTAGGTTTAGAGCGCATATTAATAAATTGTTTTCGATCTCATTATGCTATAGTACATCATTCTTTTCTCGTCACAAACATAGCGACACCTTGCAAGAAATTTATAAATAAGCGTATAAATCATCGTGTAAGATTGGAGTAAACTCCACTCATTATAAATCAGTGAAATATTTTATCAACTGCAAATCTAATCAAAGTATCATCAGGTAGATTTCTCTTCAGTGAATTTACTATTTCTTTTTTCTGCCGACTGAGTAATGAGTCATAGGTATGAGTGCGTGCTTTGTGCTGAGTACAATACCAAGTAATACAGTATTATAATGATCAGAAAATCCTATTCTTACGGAATGGCGTGCTGGTTAAGCCAGTGACCAATAACTATATTTCGAGTTATCTTGGGATTTGAGCATGTGTACTAGACCGATTTACTTAACTAGCTCCAATCCGTCTGATATTGATACTGTTGCATAGTGTTGAAGGATGAAAGGTCTGCAAAATGAGTAAAAACAGATATCGAATAAAATCCTTACGCGATACAATAAACAAAGTGTTCTAAACGTTGAGCAGTCTTCATTCACGACAACTGTTTTACACATTCAATTATATTCGTACTCATGGCAGTGGTTTCAGTTCTTCAGCGTGTACGGTACAGTACACAGGGACAGTGTCCATGGTACTGTAGTACAGTACAGTACTGTACTGTACACTACAGTATCGTCAAATCACTGAATGTACTGTACACTGTACACTGTACTGTACTGTAGTACTGTATATTGTATACAGTACAGTACAGTATTGTGTACTGTACAGTAGTGTACTGTGCTTTCTATTTAAAGTAATGTACGTGTAGACTGACCACCAAGAGACCATAGCTGTAATTTGCGGAGGACACATATTTTTCAAGATGTTTTCCGCTATATCAAGGGTTAAAGGTAGGCATTTAGGAAGCTGCTTTCGCAATCATAAAGTAATGACCTAAGCATTTCATTGAATACGACGTTAACTCTGGTACTGTATTTCTTTCTTGTTTATCAGGAACTCTACAGTTATTAAACGATGCCACACTTTCCTTTGCTCGTGGTAACATGTTAAGAAATTTTTCCTCCAGCTCAATGATGTGTAATAAATGGATGCGACGTGATAAGAAGAGACGAGCCCTATTCGATAAGTTTGAAGGTGAAAGATTAAGATGGAAAACTATCGCAAAATCTGCTATTTTACCAAAGGAAATTACTAACTATGCCAAAGAAGTATTACATAACAAGTTTCCTCGGGACTCTAGCATTACCAGGATTCGCAACAGATGCAACCTTACTGGAAGACCTCGCGGACTTGTTAGACAGTACGGTATTTCGAGGATTAAGTTTCGCGAGCTTGCAGATTCTGGCAAATTAGCCGGTGTGACCAGATCGTCGTGGTGAATTCTTAATGGTCTGTCTACTGGAGGCTAAATTAGAATTTCTTACTAAATGTAAATTGTATCTATGATTGCATACTGACGATAGAACTATGAAATTATAATTGATCCAAATGACGAACACATACTATATAGTTTAGGATGGTTAAGGGTGAGCAACACATGATGTACATACAGTACAGTATGGAGTTAATATCCGACTTATTTTAGTGCTAGTTATTTATTTCGTAATGTCGTATAACACAAAGCTATTTTGAAGCATTTATTTCTGTTCTTCCGCGAGTAATTTCAGTTGCTTTATATCAAGCTGATTATTCGTTTCAGTATNTTAGATGAGCTCATGTGATGGTGAAAAA